GGGGGGGGGGGATTGGGAGGACCTAGTTTGCTCGCATGCCATTATAAGTCAGAAAGGAAATGAACATCAAAATACACAGCCAAATGTCCACATTTATCCCTAATTCCCGGTCCTCTTCTCCTCTGCTACATTTTGCATTAGACTTTCTTCAGGCTTTTGTTCTTAGTCTCACTATCATTGCTTTCTTGTTTTTTGTTTGTTTGTTGTTTCTTATTGATGTTCTGAGCAATCTGATAACTCTGTCGAAATGATTCCCAAATCCGTCTCTCCCTCTCTCCACACCGAGCTTTACGCACATTTTCAACCTTGGCTGTGCCCTTCCCCATGGCTGTCTCATATCCAACCCACAGCAGATCTTTATTTTCTCCCCAACCTGTTCCTCCTCCTCATGAGCTTTTCCTGTCACCCAAAGAGAAAGCTCAGAATAATCTGATGTTGCTCTTCACTCTTCATCTCCCTCAGCCAGCTATCAAATAGGCTGTTTCAGCTTCACCGGAATCTCTGCATGGGCCCTTCTCCTCGTGCCCACTGACACACCCTGGCAACGCCCTGGGCCGCTCACTCCTGGGATGGGATGGGCCCCAATGCAAAGGGCTCCCTGAAATCTCTACTGTCTACTCTAGGCTCCACACTGCTGCATCTGTTAGCTCTAAACCAAGTCTGCTCACTCCTTTGCTTAAAAGTGTCCACCAGCTTCTCATATTCAGAATCAGCCAGAGACAGTACAGCCAGGGAGGTGAGATCTGGGTCTGGTGTTCGCCTGCCTTTCTCACCCCACCCCCTCCCTAGTATATGCATCATGGAAGTACACTGTCTTGCCACACGAGACAGAGCTAGTTCCCCAAGACGCGGCCATGAACTTCCCCACTCCCATGCCCGAGCGCCATATAATATTCCTTGGGGTGGAATGTCCTTCTGCCCTGTCCCTGGACGAGTTCTATTCATTCTACAATGCCCAACATTAACCCCAGCTCCCTCGTGAAGCATTCCTAAAGACTCTAGTTAGAACTCGCCATCCCTTCCTTTGAGATCCCACAACACACACATTTGTATTTCTGATTCTTGCCTGTGTTGTAGTTCATTTTAAAGTTAGCAAATACATCACTATAAACCTTCACTCCCTGAAACATGGTTCTGTACATATCAGCCATTCAAAAATGTTGAAAAAAACATAAGCATCCTATAACGTGGAGAATTATTATAAACTAAACTAATCAATGGAACTAAGATACAGGCAATCTATGGATGAATAGAATAAATAAGCAGTTAATAAAATAATTACCATGGTGTATAATTCCATTTTCTAATAAAGCTTGTCCCAAATGAACACCTTCTTCAGGCCTGTGAATCTCTCCGATTTCCAACAGCCATGACACAAATTCACTGCAGCAGAAACCCAATGAAAAGGTTAAACAGTTAATTTTCCCCCCAGGAAGTCTATCTGTGCCATGTATCCATCAAGCAGCTATGAAAGGAGTCTCAAAACAGAAGGGACTATTTTCAGTGTATTGCAACATACACTTTTCATATACACAAAGCCTGCAGTTATTTAAATTGGACTCCTCTAGAAAACCCATGTCCATACATTCAGACTTACCTAAACCATACTTAATAACTATTTAACTTGTGGAGACTTTTAAAAACACAAAGGGAAAATCTTACAGCAGCTTCAATTATAAGGTTACTATCCACATAAAGGCAAATTTGGGACTAAAGAGTATACAACAGATATTAAAGATAGCTAAAGGACAGAACTTCCTGATCCCTAGTTCCTGAATCTTTATAAAATATAAGTATGTGTTTGAGGATCAGATATAATGTATAGGAAGAATCCAACCCAAAGCCTGGACTACCTATATGTACCTGAGGCACTGCCCTTCCCTGTGGCCCTGCCTGTTTAACCCAGCAGGGATTCCCCACGCACAGTTGTCTGCAAAAACCCAAGGACACACACAGTCCACCTAAGCTAAACACTCAAGTGACTTCCCTTCCTCTTGCTTTGTGCCTGCCCCCTCGCATGACCCACTTTTTCAGACTCTTTATTTATAGCCCTTCATCCTGAGCCTGGCTGTCAAAATTTTAAATTGGTAACTTAGACTATGTTTCTTTAGTTCTCTAGCATTTTCTATCTTTCGGGCCCTGTACTCATGACCTTGCCAGACTGTCCCCTACAGGCAAACCCACCTGCCTGCCCAGCCTCTGCCTCGCCCTTGGAACACAGTACACCAGAACTTACTAAAGTCATGAATGAATGNCAGCCAGGGAGGTGAGATCTGGGTCTGGTGTTCGCCTGCCTTTCTCACCCCACCCCCTCCCTAGTATATGCATCATGGAAGTACACTGTCTTGCCACACGAGACAGAGCTAGTTCCCCAAGACGCGGCCATGAACTTCCCCACTCCCATGCCCGAGCGCCATATAATATTCCTTGGGGTGGAATGTCCTTCTGCCCTGTCCCTGGACGAGTTCTATTCATTCTACAATGCCCAACATTAACCCCAGCTCCCTCGTGAAGCATTCCTAAAGACTCTAGTTAGAACTCGCCATCTCTTCCTTTGAGATCCCACAACACACACATTTGTATTTCTGACTCTTGCCTGTGTTGTAGTTCATTTTAAAGTTAGCAAATACATCACCATAAACCTTCACTCCCTGAAACATGGTTCTGTACATATCAGCCATTCAAAAATGTTGAAAAAAACATAAGCATCCTATAACGTGGAGAATTATTATAAACTAAACTAATCAATGGAACTAAGATACAGGCAATCTATGGATGAATAGAATAAATAAGCAGTTAATAAAATAATTACCATGGTGTATAATTCCATTTTCTAATAAAGCTTGTCCCAAATGAACACCTTCTTCAGGCCTGTGAATCTCTCCGATTTCCAACAGCCATGACACAAATTCACTGCAGCAGAAACCCAATGAAAAGGTTAAACAGTTAATTTTCCCCCCAGGAAGTCTATCTGTGCCATGTATCCATCAAGCAGCTATGAAAGGAGTCTCAAAACAGAAGGGACTATTTTCAGTGTATTGCAACATACACTTTTCATATACACAAAGCCTGCAGTTATTTAAATTGGACTCCTCTAGAAAACCCATGTCCATACATTCAGACTTACCTAAACCATACTTAATAACTATTTAACTTGTGGAGACTTTTAAAAACACAAAGGGAAAATCTTACAGCAGCTTCAATTATAAGGTTACTATCCACATAAAGGCAAATTTGGGACTAAAGAGTATACAACAGATATTAAAGATAGCTAAAGGACAGAACTTCCTGATCCCTAGTTCCTGAATCTTTATAAAATATAAGTATGTGTTTGAGGATCAGATATAATGTATAGGAAGAATCCAACCCAAAGCCTGGACTACCTATATGTACCTGAGGCACTGCCCTTCCCTGTGGCCCTGCCTGTTTAACCCAGCAGGGATTCCCCACGCACAGTTGTCTGCAAAAACCCAAGGACACACACAGTCCACCTAAGCTAAACACTCAAGTGACTTCCCTTCCTCTTGCTTTGTGCCTGCCCCCTCGCATGACCCACTTTTTCAGACTCTTTATTTATAGCCCTTCATCCTGAGCCTGGCTGTCAAAATTTTAAATTGGTAACTTAGACTATGTTTCTTTAGTTCTCTAGCATTTTCTATCTTTCGGGCCCTGTACTCATGACCTTGCCAGACTGTCCCCTACAGGCAAACCCACCTGCCTGCCCAGCCTCTGCCTCGCCCTTGGAACACAGTACACCAGAACTTACTAAAGTCATGAATGAATGGACAAATGCCTTAGGTTTGCATGGTTCCCAGCTGCATGCCCATTCCCTCACCCCACTGTGGTCCAGAAAAGTTTGATAGTAAAGAAATATTCAAAACTGCTTAGGAGAATATTTTTAAAGAAAAACAAACAAAGAAAATTAACACAAGATAGTGAAAATATGTAAAAACAATATTCGCACCCAGACTTCCAGCCCTACCTTCCAAGGAAGCATTTAGGGAATGTAGTCAGCTTTCTTTTTCTGTCTTTGATCAGATTTCCTTGTTTGCACATCATTTTATAGAGTTTCTCACCCTGTTCGGAGATCATTACCCAGGTGTCCTGCTCCATTCCCAATTTTAAACCTATCAAAAACAAAACCAAGGACAGGGAACTGAAAAAGTCTCTTCATTCGCTCACGCCTTCAGTAAACAAACATTTATTGCCATGTCGACCATGTGCTGGAGCTGTGGACACAGAGCTCTGGACTACAGGGGCCTGATTTTCAGGAAGCTCTTGCGATACAGGGAGACAGTCGAGGCAAGAGGCCCAGGGCCACTGGGCGCCTTGGTGCACGCTGAGCTTCAAAGGTACATGGTTTGGCCCGTAGAGGAAGAGCAGCTGTATCTCACACTTTAGGAGCCCCTTCTGCAGGACTCAGCACAACTGGATAGTGTGGTCCCAGAGACAGCCTGAGAGGAAAAGTTGTCACACAACAGGGGCACATTCTGAGTAGCTCCCTCATCTGAGAAATATTCAGAAAGGCTCCATGGAAGAGCGCTGTGTGAATGAATGCACAGGTATGAACAGGATTTGCAGAGAGAAAGCTAAGTGAAGTAAAACAATACAGACGGAGCCCTGGGTTTAGGTGAGAGCACAGGAGATGTGCTGGTGGGTTAGGCAGGGTGCTTGCTCAACTGCAGTTCAAGGTCCTTCATTCCTTAGGTACTAGGGAAATGTCTGTTTTAACCGGAGGGGGAGAAGGCACGGTAGTGCAAGAAAGGAAGTTTTGTGGCTTTGAAAACTAAGCTCAGAGGACAAGTTGAAAGGGGGGGGGAGGGGTTAAAAAGAGGGAGACCATTAGGATGGAAACGCAAAAGTTCAGGCAAGTTTGAGGCGCTACAGACAGTAATAGGAAGGATTATTGTTGAGAAATATCTAGGAGGTGGTATTGGGAGGACACCCCACCAGGTTGATTGTAGATGTGAAGGCAAGAGAAGAACTCAGGATGCCTTCCAAGCTTTTGACACAACAACTGAATGGGGATGGGGAGGTCTAGTGGGCAAAGGGTTTCAGGTAAGGGCAAGGCCAGCACTGAGCAAGTTGACGTTGGTCATTCAGGTGGAGTTCAGGGGTCAGTGGAATATGTAAGCATGAAGCTCAGGAGACAGGACAAGGCTAGACATGATGATTGAGAACTTGGCAAAGTAGAAGTGGAAGGTGATATGGTGGGAATAAGATGACCCAGGCAAGGAATCCAGTTTAGTGGAGACAGTACCGAGACGGAAATCCTGGGAACACTGACACTTCATCAGTGGGACTTTCATGAAGAGCTGTTGCAGAGGAAGAAATACTTGAATTATTTTAGTCTTCTAGCTAGAAAATTTCTTGCTAACATTTTATTTTTTACAATGTAGGAGCCATTGACATTTGTTAGTAATAGTGAATAACCCATTAAGAATTGAGCCTGTTAACATACACAGATTTATAGAATGTGCTTCCTTTTCTTCAGTCTTTCTCCCCACCTCCAACCTTTCTGGGAGGTCTTTGCCATATCTATATGCATAGCCATTCTGAAAAAATAAAGCTTCAATTTGATGAAAAAATCAATTTATTTTTATATGATTTTCTATATTTGAGTTAATTGCTAGATTTAACAAAACTTAGGAGTCTGTTGTGCATTCATAATCTTTGTGTTAAAAATTCCTATCTGGTTCTTCATCCAACATCAATCAAAGGAGTAAGTATTTGAAAAGGCTTTGGAAATTCTTAACACAACTGTGTATTATGGACATTTTAACCAAGGTAGAAAATGTATACATTCTCCAAGGGAAAATATCTGAAGATGGAAAGGGCTCTTTGTGCTCTAAAATGTATCACCAATGAGATGTTTTATTCCTAAATCTCTGGGGGAAGGAACAAACACTGTCATATTTCTTATCAATTATTTGATAAAGGACCTAGAAGTTATACAAGCATTTCTATTTCTTAACTGAATTACAGAAATATGGCTACTTGTAGACAAACTCCACACAACTGAACATTGCCAGACCAAATACCTCCTGCAAATCTTGCTAAAAACACAAAGCAAATTTGAGCTAGACCACTTCATGTGAACAAGCTCCTTATGGGTTATATTACATTAAATTCAATGGCATTGTAGCATTTTTAAAAAGTTAATATATATCCAAAGCACCTTATTCTATAATTAGGACACTAACGTATTTGACCTAGGAATTTTCACTCTAATACGCAGAAAACAATTGTTGGAGGCCCTACGGTGCTGCACATTACTGAAGTTTGTCTCAAAGGAAAACTCTGCTGATGCTTTAGGAACAGCAAGAATAAAGCGCAAAGAAACTTGAACAAATTTTAAAGCAAGTGAAACCATTTGCTGTAGACCGAATGTTCGTGTGCCCCCAAAATTCATGTTGAAATCTAATCCCTGATAAAATGGCATGAGGAGGTGGAGCCTTTGGGAGGTGGTCAGGGCATGAGAATGGAACCCTCATGAATGGGATTAGTGCCCTTATAAAAGAGACCCAGAGAGAGCCCTCTCACTCCTTCCACCTTGTGAGGTTACAGCAAGAAGGCTTTGTATGAGGCAGTGGCCTGACAGCAAGCACAGAATCTGTAGGTGTCACAATCCGGGACTTCCCAGCCTCCAGAACAATGAGGAATAACTGTCTATTGTTTATGAGCCACCCAGCCTACGATAGCTGGTTACAGCAGCCCAAACACACTAAGACACTATTTAAAAGACACTGCCAGTCACAATACAATTATTTTGCTAACTACATAAGATCACTCTCTTCTTTCTTTTGGTAAGTAACAGTATTGGAAGCATTCAAAAAGTATTTTAGCATGGGGCTTACATCACATAGAAAATTCAAGTGAACATTATATTCCTTTTTAGTCTTTCACAACTTTAGCCCATTATCTTAGCTTTTCTGCTAAGTTAGGATCTTCACCAAATATAACAATTCATATACCCACTTTTTCGTACCCAACTCATATACCCACTTTTTCGTACCCAACTCATATACCCACTTTTTCGTCTTTCTCTTTCTTTCAAAATTGCTTCTAACCACTCGTGTTTCTCTTCAGGTGTTTTTGCCATACACACAAACCATTTATTTTTTGCTGTGTTATGTATCTTCCATCCATTAACCACAATGTGTCCACTGCTATGGAAGTCAGCTGGAAATTAATGAGCAAAGGTGAATGAGCAAATGTTATAGATAATACCATATCAACGCAATCATTCGATTCACAGAAGTTCCAAAACCACTGAATTCTTCAAAATACCTTTGCTTTATATGTGTGTGTTGAAGCACAAAAAATAAAATTAACAAAATGTTTATATATTGCATGCAGTCAATGCTCGATAAGGGAACATTTCTCACCTCACCTCTCATAGACTCTCACTCCCCTACATCTGACACAGATACACTGATGACAGCAATTTATGCCCATCCCTCCAAAGGCCCTGGATTCTTACATGTCTCTATCTAGTGCCCCGGTTTCCCATCAGCACAGTAACCACGGTAATCAATACAAAATTCACTTAGGCTACCAGGGAAGATGGTATAAATGTTGACAACCACATCCCTGAGGGAAAGGAGGGGAGTGAGACCCGGGGAAGAAAACAAAGGCAGTGCTCAGGCAACAGGGGAGCGGAGGTCCCCCCGAGGGAGACAGGGCCAACAAAGGGCAGTGTGAAGGCTGGAGCGTGCTTTCCCGTCTCACTTCTCCCACCCCAAGCAAACTGCGGGCTTTAAGACATTCTCTTGAGCATTCAGGTTACTGAAGCAAGAGAGATACTCACATTTTAGGCAGGTAGCATTTCTAAGCCGTCACTACACGGTCTCCTTAGAAAGCCTTAAAGAGAGTTCTGCCACCTTATAAAGACTAACGTGCACACCCTGTCATGGAAAGATAGGCTGCTATGTCCCAAGTGTGATCAGGGGAGCACCTGCAACTGTACCGTATTCTGCAGCACAGAAAGGGATTGGAAATGTGGGACTGCTCCCTGCTCCTGCTGACCGACAGCTCCCCATCTCCATCCCACCATCAGCCAGTGAGGAGCGTCTCCACAGCATGACCTGGTGCCCAAGGGAAGCGTCCCATCCCAGGCACCACCTGAACTCTGCCCGTTGCATGTCTTTTTCTCTGACCTGGGGCAACCACAGTTCACTATTTTAAGTACTGGATAATTTGTTAGGATTCTAATAAACAAGATGGAGATATGGCACACAGGTGAGCATTTGAAAACCTGTGCTCCCTACAGATGATAAACATTCTTCTTCCCTCTGAGATCCAGGGATGACAACAAACGTATGTGGGAGGAGAGCTGATCTGTGCCCCAATCCCACATTTAAACTGAATATTATAAAGACATTTCTCTGTATGGGAATAAAAGTCATTAATCAACCATTAATATATTTTATATTATCTTGTCTTTCCTCTTAGAAGCGTACTTTTGAAATTCTAATTAAAATCTTTGGAAAAAGAGTGATTCAATTTAATAAACATCCATATGATATACAACTTTTTTTCAAATAGCAAATAATAATTTATTTTAACTTCATTTTACTTAATATTTGTGACTAATCATGAGTTCATGAACTTACTTATAAAAGTCCATACCCTCAGTTGTACAGAGCAAAAATTTACTGTCTTTGTGAAACAAAGAACTTAAATTACACAAAGCACCTCCATCCACAACTTCCCCGTACAAGCAAATTGACAACCTGCATATATTACTAGCAGTGTATAGATGAAATAAATCTAAAGTTTACTATATTCTACATTAAATATATATAGGAACACAATGTCACATAAATACTTATAACACATAGGATAACTTAAAATCAATTCATTCATTAAATATTTTCTGCATTCACACTCTCTAGACTAGGAACTGTGAGTGTCTATGACATTCCTACTCAGCTATTTCTTTGTATCTGTGTTTAATGTCAATATGTTTCAGCCAAAAATAATTTTTCATTTTTAAAACAGTCCTTCCCTCCCTTTCGCCTTTTTCCTGTGACTGCTCTAGCTAACAAAGTATTTCTCAGCTCTACTGCACTGCACTGAATTATTCAACTGAGCAGTCTGTCCTGTGAGGCAGTTTACCACTGGGCTTTTGTTCTGCATCTGCCAGTCACTGACCTGTGCCATCGTCCACATTCTCCACTTCCATCACCTCTGTATTGATCCGGCCACGGAAAAGGTACCGATGTCCATCTGCAGACGTCTTGCTGTTCTTCAACCGTCTTATAAAGGGATGAAACCACACAATCATTACTGCTTTACTTAACGCAAGACAGTGTTGAAGCACTATAATTTAATCAGATCTTTGCAAAGGACAAATGAGATACCGATCCAATCAATGATATCAAATGTTAGGCTCTTGGTATTTTTTACTTGTGCCCTCCCTCTCATTCATAACAGCACTGGTGCACTGCGAGATGTGACTTACTTGTAGTTTTTTAAATAAACCGGAGCTCTGGGCTCAAGAAAATGTACAGGTGGGAAGGTAAACATGTGCTTTAGCTCATTATAGAACATCAGAGGTGCCCAATCACACCTGACACTAAGAGTTGGTTAAAATTTCATTTGATTTCTTTCACCTTCATTTCTCATTTTCAGTAAGTAGCTGGTAATTTCCAATCCTTGGTAAAATTCAGTTAGATCTTATAATCCCTCTACCAAAAAAATTGACTCTGCTGGAGGTTCATTATCCAGCTGAAAATGTTTCCTATATTGTTTTTATGACATGATAACTGTATACTTGTTAAGTCTCTTAACACATGTAGAATCCTTCATAAAGGTCTTAGTTATTTTCAAAATAGTCTAAATCATTCCAAAACTTTGTATATAGTGTGTCCAGTATTGACCTTTAATCTTTAGAAGTATGTAACACAAAGTAAAAAAAAATCCAGGTTTACAGATGAACATTTGTAGTAATGAATTGGGTTATTATGTATGTTTGTAGTTGAATCACTGAACATTCGGGAGAGATTGTTTTAAAAACTGGGTTTTTTCAATTAAATTTAAAAGGAAAGATCATAAGGAATGATTTGAGAGGATTAAAGAATACCTAGTCCCTCAAGAGATCTCAATTGACCTGAACTATACTTACTAGTACAAGTCTGCCTAACAATTCTGTATGCTGAAATAATTACTCACTTGTGTAACACAGACACACCTAGCAAAGGTTAAGCCGTAACTGCACACCAATGCCAGTGTTCCCTCTCCCCTTCTTCCCTGTGGTTAGATACCTGCCATGGAGTGGAGGAAGTGGGTGCAGGGAGGTGTCACAAGGTGTCTTCATAGTCCCTGACTTTCTTCTTTGGAAAATAGTATATATCCTACTTATCTGTCTAAACCTTTCTCCAAACTTATAGTCCTTCATCATTAGTAAAGAAAACTAGCTATATTGATTAATTAATCTGACGGAGAGTCTGTCAGCCCCAGGCCTTCACGATCTTACACTCTCATGTTCATTCCGAAAGCAACCTCTAAGTACCCTTCGTTAATAAGCCTAAATAAATACTATAAATTAGGGATTCGAGCCAGGTAGCTATGAAAGTTGGCATCATTGGAGGCCAAAGATAAAGAATGCAGAGCCAACTAATATGCCTTAGGTAGGAAATTGTATCACGGTGTGTTGCAGAAAAAGAATTTCTTATAAATGCATACATCATACTTAAAACCAATCCTATTTTGAAAAGCTTAATATCCTTGACAGTTTTAGTCACAGGCATGGAATCTCAAATTGGGTCTTATTTTCCAAAGTATTAATTTTCTTTGTGATAATGTACAGGCTCTTAGCCCTGTACAGGCTTTTTATATTCCTCTTGACCTACAGATGATAAGAATCAATATGAAATTCTAGTAAGTGGTTAATACTGCAACACCTCGTTCAAATAGATCTTTGGTCCCTTCAGAAAATGGCTCTATTGAATTTTAAAGATGAAAAAGTCTATGGTTTGACAATAAGTTTACTCTATATTGTAATATTGAGTACTTGCATATCTTGAGTCTATACTTTCCTTCCTAATTATGTGTTTCAATGGTCACTGGGATGCATGTATAGGAATGTTCACAGTAAGAGAAAAACTGGAAAGAACAAATTTATCCTGTCTCCACAGACAGGAGAACAAATAAAATGTTATTAATTAAATTGTGTTATAGCCAACCAATGGAATATTATGCAGCAGTTAAGATAAACTATTGCTACATACATGAATACAGTGCTTAAAAAGCATATCTTATACAAAATATAAGTAGCAGACAACTAAATACATGATGATACCATCTCATACACAAAGCTCATCAACAAGCCAAACTAAGCAGTCATGTTATATGTATCAAATACTACATAATATATTATTTTTCAATGCCAGTTTCTTCTAAGATTAATAGTGTTAGAAATATGGACAGCTGGGATACATAATTAGCACTCTTGTCTTTATTGAATGTAGATCTAAAAATAAAATAAATTCATCAGGGTCCTGGTTCTTGCAATTACAACATTCTGGACATTTGGAAAAGATTAGTTTACTCATACTTTCTGAAGGATCATCAGAGCTTAGACAGGACAAGGTAGAGGAAGTGAAGTATTCTAAAATGAAGGAAACAGATGGTAGAGTCACATTCCCATCATTCAGGAAGGGATGGACACAGATCTATTTAGTGATTTCCATTTCTAATTACTATGTACTTTGTCCATGCTATACATACATTAAGGATATTTGCTAAACCCGAGATTTTAATTTTATGAAACCTTTCTTGTTGTTTAACTTATTTAAACATTAAGGCCTTGAGACCATAAATAATATCATCATTTGTACAGTCTTCATTTGCAAAAGCTTTGAGCTCAAAGGCAGGCACATATATATAAATAGGAATGAGATCAACTGTAATTTTAAAAAAAAGTATCAGTCTCAAATGAATGCCTTTAATAACTGCACCTAGACGGATATGTTAATTAACTCAGTGGGGGAAATCCTTTCACGATGTATTATATATATTGAATCAGCATGTTGTACACTCTAAGAATCTTATAATTTTATTTCTCCATTATATCTCAATAAAGCTGGAAAAAATAATTACACCTAAACAACTTGAATCACATTACCATTTTTAAATGAGTTACATACAAGTAAAATTAACAGCCTACATCTTCCTAAAGCTTATTTTTATTAATCTCGATCTTGCTACCAAACACAAAGAATTTAGAAGAGCATACTAGAAAAAATAAACAGGTCATTTCCACATGAGGTCAAAACCAATTTTTCAAAAAGCTCACTAAGACAAAGATGACAACAATTTAATTATCTTTTGGCTCTAATCCTAACCTGTTCTCTTTCATCAAGGTACATGGTACCACTTCATTAAAATGAATGTTTCCTAGATACAGTTAAGAAGGACATATGGGTTCAGGAAATTTCCCAATAAAGTACAACTTTACTATTTTGCTTAATCAACCTGCAAAAATTTCAAGAAAACTATGCAGTCAAACAAGTAACTTCTGAAGAAAAAAAAGTATATCTATGCTTTAAAACAAACAACAATTGCATTAATTGACATTAATACATAACATTGTTTACATGGGTGATGGCTAAGCTATACCAAGGACTTGCTTGGGTTTCATTCATTCAATCATTTATTCACTTATTCAACAAATGTTTCTTGAGTATCTATTACATGGTAGGTCTGCTCCAGCCTCTGGGGATGGATAATTAAATAGCAATGAAAAGCACCAAGACCCTTGTTCTCATGGACCTTACAGTCTAACCTTGTAAAGGTGGCAGAAATAAACAAATAAAGAATGGAGAAAATATCAGCATGTACTTTCCAGATATTGATAGAGTGGCTGAGAGGTTGCCTTGGATGGGGTGGTCAGGGAAGATATTTCTGAGAAAGTGATATTTAAATAAGATTAAAAGACACGAAGAACCGGGCCACACAAGCCTTGGAGGGAAGAGCAACAGCCAAGAAGGAGAAACAGCCAGAGCAAAATGGAAGAAACAATACTCTTTATTTCCTCACGAGGGTGTGAAGTATAGCACAGGGAGTATACTCAATAACACTCTAATAACTATGGTGCCAGCTGGGTTCTGGAAATACCAGGTAGGGGTTAGAAACAACAACCACTTTTCCTCCAGAAGGCTCCTGGGGAGGAGTATCATCTAATGACAGTCACATTTCAGTTAGGTTTTATAAGAAGATGAAGGGAAAAGGCATAGAATGGGCTGAGCCTGTGGACATTTACCGATGAGATTGTGAGTTCCCAGGACCACAGAGGAAAAGTTGAACCTGTGAGGGGGATAAACAATTTCTGAAGTGTTACCTGTTTATCCTCTTACCTGTGTTTTCTTTTGCAATACACCAAAAGATTATCAAAAAGAAAAAACACTCGTTCTTGAATATTTCCAGAAGAAATTTTCAGTAAGACTCCACACATTAGCATTTCAGTGCAGGTATCAGTAATGTTGGACCCCTGAGTCAGGAAAAATGGAGATAATGTCTGATTACTTAACAAAAACTTTCATGTGTAATTCTTTTCTTCCTTAAAAGCATATTTGTTTTTATTTGAAGATGCAATATAAAGACAGGATAAAGTTCAAACAGTGCAAATATTAATACACTGAATGGAGGCCTCCTTCCGTTCCAGTCTCCTCCTGGTCGATCTGAGATGACACAACTACTATTAAGAGTGTCACCCCAGCCCAGCCGGCCAGGAGATTGAGGTTCAATTCCTGGTCAGGGCACATGCCTGGGTTTCAGGCCCAAACCCCAGTGGGGCGCATGCGGGAGGTAGCCGATCAGTGACACACTCATCATTGATGTTTCTATCTCTGTCTCTCCCTCTCCCTTCCTCTCTCTGAAATCAACAAAGTTTTTTCTAAAAAAGAGTGTCACCCCAATAAATTCAATAAAAAGGAAAAAAAGAGATTCTGTGTCTCTTTTAGGTATTTTACATATATATGCATACATAAACATCTATGATACATGTTACCTCTATTCTTTGGAAAGGAAATGATTTCAAACTCGTTCATAACATTAATGTCCTTAAAATTCCTTTCTTCCTCCTCTCTTTCCCTGATATGAGGAAAGAGCTCCATTGACACATGGCAAAGTATGAGAAACTGTCTAAATTTTTAGTAGGACTCAGTTTATAGCTCCACCACTAGGATAAAGAGGAAAAAGAAAAGAAGAAAAAAAAATCTATGTATTTAAAGAAAGTTTTTCACTGTAGTTATTAAAAGTTGACACAGACACACACATTCACTAAGTAAGCCTTGAATGCCCATATGAGTTAGTGACAAAAATGATCCTTAACACAAGTAAAAATCACTGGAAGCAGCAAGGAGCCACAAGAGAGAAGGAGCCTGGGTCCCTGAATCATTCACAAAGGAAAACTGCCCACTGAGTAGAACACAGGCATTGGCTTTGTGTGTGAACTGAGGGAAGCTAACTAAGATGATGTCATTGTGCTAATTTGAGTATCTATATTTCAAATACATTTTAAATTTTAGATAGTTCCCTCTCCTCTTTCCTTTCATCATAAGGGTAGATATATAAATGGAGATGTGTCAAACATTTACACCATTTCATATACTTTGTAATGTGATAATTAAGCAAAAACTATCATCAAATATGAATATAAATCCCAATTCCAGTAGCAATGATTTCTTACTTATAGTGAGTGCAATCTCTTTCTCCAAAAAAAAACTAAGATAGAATAGTATCTAAAATGTAAAAAAGGAAACATCATATTCATTTCTACACAAGACCTACACGACATCGTGAGAAGTGGCCTTATTAATAGCCATGTTACAGAAGGTACGAAATACTTTACCTTAGACCATTTCTTACAGTAGCCCAGGAAAGCCAAGGCAGGAAGATAATTTGTTATGTTATGAAAGGATGGCTACTGCAAATATTCTATTCTCATATTTTCCCCTCACTTAAATGATAAGCTCTACCTTTCTCTGTAGTAAACAATAATCTTGTAGCTTTATCTTTGAAATATATGAAGCTTATGATATTTTGAAAATTATGTGCATTTTTTTCATTTACCTAGAAATGCCAGGAGAGTTTCTGGGGTTAGGGATAAAAAAGCCAAGCTACAAAATTCCCAGGAGAAATTGAAATAAGGTATGCCTCCAAGCATTAGACTGCTAGGTAACAGTCAGGAGAGCTAAAGTCTATCATAAGGAGAATGTCAAATGAGTGAGCTAAGAAATCAAACAAGCCAGGCAGATCAACAGAAGAGACTGAAGCCTCTAGGGCAACGGTTCTCAAATTTTAGAGTCTGGAAGACACATCTGATGGGCTAGTTAAACTCTGGTTGGAATTATCTTCAGAGATTGAAACTGAATAAATCTGGGGTAGGTCCCTGACCATCCAGTAGGTCCTGATGTTTGTGGTCTCCCATCAATACTTTAAGTAATACTGCTTTGGCAGCTTGATTACCTGAGCTCAGGTGCCCAAGAGCTCAGTGCAGCATTCATGCTAACATGGAGATAAAGGTGAGCACAGGTCCCTGCCTGAGGCAGTCCCAGCTGCTTCCCAGTGCCCAGGGAAGAAGAGATGTTTAATCCCATGTTACACAGTCATAGTTACACCTCCAGTGTGTTTCATCCCTCTGTTATGTTTCATCATCACTGAATATTCACTTACATCTGCATAATGTCACTTTACCTGGTTATTTTGTCTTCATTTTAAACACTGATGTTAATTTTTTAAATATATTCTTTCACAAATACAGTCACTGAACAATCATGTATAATAAACACTTCTCTCTAGATGAATGCTAAAGTCAGGTTTTTAACATTTCTATAACATGCCAGGCAATGTGTTTAGTATTTTCTCCTGGTAGAAATTTCTATCAAGATGGATTCTCTATCCCTAAAACTTTTTTGGGGAAATGTTATTGAATTAAATCAGCTTTTAAACTGTTTCATGGGTCACCATGCAAATATCAGAGGAAGCAGACTCTTGTCCTGTGGAAAAACTGTCACCATGAAAAAATACTGTTTATGAAAATAAGCTACTTGAACAGTGTGGTGATATATCACAATCATAAGCCAACATCTGAGCGGTAAGGTATGAAAAAATTGCTCTTAAAAAATAAGAGGGCTTTGCATAAATCATTAAGTTTGAACTGTCCAAAAGCCATTACATATAATGTAGTATACATATGCACATATTTCATGCAGATAATTTTAAATAATGAGTTTACCCATATGATTCAGAACCCTGCTGTCTTTTAGTGATTCCTTAAAATATAACCAAAGTAATGTACTTTTATCACATAGATGATTTATTTTTAATGCACATTTCCTTTTAGGAAACTACCTTTATGATGTAAAATCAGAGACTGCCTGTTTGAAATGAATTACATACACAGAATTAAACACAGTAAAACACCAACTAGGAAGTTACATGGATAGTTGTAATCCCGACTGTTTTCAGTAGATCAGGAAAGGAAGGCTGAAAGGTAAGAAGTAATCATAAATAAATATCTGTGACCAGTGGTGGGAGACGTATTCATCCAGGCCCCTCTCATTGCAAAAGCTTCCTTCTTTCTACCCCAAGCTGTGCACACCTATCTCATTCCTCTTCCATCACCACAACCCCAAAGGGTGAGATACACTGAGAGAAGCCCACCCGTATATGTTCATTAGACAAAAGAAACGGTGCCTGTACAGGTGAAATACCTTTACAATGATTGAATTTCGAACAACTGCAGGGTGTTCAACTCTAATAACAAGGAAATGACAAAAATCTCACAAGGTGTATTTGTGAACCGTAACCCAGAACAGGGTACTAAAGATTATTAGACAACATCAAAGTGGCCGAAGAATGAAACAAACATTGGACTCTAAATAGAACCAGGTCAGAATCACTAACATTAACCAAAAGAGCCAACAGTATCCAAAAAAAATGAAAGAAGCCACTCACAATACATAACTACAATGCAATTATATCTGCATTCAATTACCATTCAGGACACACTGTATCAGACAATGTCTTAGATGCTGGGGACCGAGAGCTTGAGACATGACTCCAGCTCCCAAAACACACATACACTAGTGGGAGAAACAGAAATGTGAACCCAGTTAAGTGCCATGCAATCATTGCAAGTACAGAACATTAATAAAATGAGAGTGGGCGTGAGTGAACAGCGAAGAATATCAGGGATGGCTACATGTGTCTATGATCATGTATGTTTATTATTAATTATATAGTTCATTCCATGCTGTGGTTTCAGGTTTCAATCATTCTCAAGTAATTTTCTTTGCTGAATTTATGAAGTATACCATTTAAATGTCACCTTCCAATGTGGCTGAGATCAGCCTGAATGGACGAACCAAACAATGACTTCGGTCATAGACTGGGGCCCAGAGCAGCCGGTGTTGTCACCACTGCTCACCAACAGCATCTCCCCTTGTGTGTGCGTCATGCCACAGGATCCAGCAAGGAAATAGTAACAATTCAGAATCTAATTTGTTAAGAAGTTAAATAATTTTTAATCTATAATTTGAAATATATCATTGGCTGCCGATTAATTATATGGTCAGTATCCATGAGAAACTATTAAGTTTCAGTGCACCATTACAGAATTTAATGTGGAAGCATGATAAATTTCATGAGTGGCCACATGTTAGGTGCCAAAGTATGCTTTCAGAAAATGACAAGAGCCAGGAAAGGCAATCAGGAATATGTGTATTTTATTTTTTGGTTTCTTTTCTAATTTCCAAGTCTCTTCAAACATTAAAATTATAATTTATGAAGAACTGCAATAATAAAACAAATCTCTTCTCAACAAACACAATAAAAATAATATTGCTAAACCATATCTGGACTGTTTGAAAAGGTAATTCTTTTTTATGTTAACAAGTTATCTTAATATAAGTTACATAAGGGTTCCTTGCTGATTTTTGCAGCTATGAGATGGCAAAAATCATTGTAATAGGAAACTATTCACTTATTATCTGACCTCATTATCAGCCCGCCCTGCTTAACACCAGGGGCTGTCTCATTCATCTTGCCAAGTGAAGGTTGAATGTCAGCATCCAAAAAATACAAACTGACTGCAGAGAGGAAACCATAATATGGAGAAAGATGAGAGATGAAAGAGACCTTGAAACTGCCTCCCTCATATATAATGTACTGCCAGACAAAGATCTAAGAGAGGGGGACCCATTCATAGTGGAAGAAAAGAATATTGACAAGAAGGACAAGTAGATGGGTGTTTCATAAGAGAACAGTTCCAATGTCAAAGGAGTTTCTTGAGAAAATTAATGAAGCATTGAATATTCTTTCAAAAAATCTTTTAAAACTACTCTGAAAGTCAAACGTGAACTGAAGCATATCGCACTGTTTTATTATACGATTTTGTCATAAAATGCAAGCCTCTCCAAAGACTCAGCATTTCAGTCACTCTTTTTGACATTCAAATTATTAACTGAAACTATCACCTAAATTCGGTTATATATTAGATTAAACCAACTAACAATATGAATTTTCATTTTACCAAGATAATGTTCCAATCAAACTTCTCCTCTCTCCCACATATTGTGACATTTTGGTCCCCCTTTTATGTGGATTCACTTTCAATGGTCTTTTTCCCAAACCACTTATCCTTAAACAACAAAGACTATCTATAAATCAATTCTACCTCAAGGCAGACTATCTATCTACCCAAACCCCTCATACAGGAGACCAAAAAAAAACCAGGTCTCTCCATAATCTCGGCAAGATTCACAGACATGAAACAACAAGAGAACATGACTTGAAGTCAATACATTGTAGGACACAAACTTCATCAAATGTAAGCAGCAAACAGATTCCAAAACCAACAAGAGGTGATTTTAAAATGGTCTTGGTGTCATCGTATGTCTCCGTGTAAAAGCTAACCAAGAAGTATCAAATTTCTAGTTTCCTTTTACTTTCTAAAATACAATACTTATCTTGAATCTTACTTTTTCCAAAATCTTCATATATTAATAATTCACCCTCTTACTTTTTGTTGTGATTTTTCCCCCCGTTTTGAGAGATCAATCTATCAAGGACATAGAGCTGAATTACTAAATGATATAATGTTTATTGATACTCCTTTGTCAATACTGGCCAGCATCGCTCCAAAGATTACAGTTATAGTTACAATACTATCAACCAACCAAAGAGTGGACTAAGACTAATGGTCCTGTTCTATGAAATACATCAATGATTCTGATTAAAGAGTTAATCAACTTCGATTCCAAGCACATTGATCATTGCTCTACAATTACCTTTAGTAGAATATCTTGTAGAATGTTTCAAATGTTGGATAAGACATGTGACTGAGATATAATAAATTATACTAATAAAAGGCAGAGCTTCAAATATGAGCAATTAAAGCAACTGAAGACCTTCTGTGGGGGCAGTTACTGCATAAATGCTGACAAAAACCTAATTTTTATAATAGGCAAGTTTATCTGAGAGATTTCACTGTAAAAAGACTTCTTTTGATGAACGGGGAAAGAAGACCCTAGGTAATTAAGTAACTTATTTGAAATAATAATCCCCCTAAAGTGAAAATAAGGCAAATTCATGGCATCTCAGACTCAGATCCCATTCGAGAGAATTTTAGTTCCTGGAGCTCATGGAAGGAGCTGGGTAAGGAGCTGTTTCCCAACGTTAGCTTGACTCCTAACCTCCAAAAGTCTTTGAGAAACTCCATATCCTGTAACTGTCATGCCATCAGACATCTGTCCTAACTCCACAAGAGTCACTCTAAATATATGCAAAGCTGTCTGTAAACTGAACAATAACCCCTGTTAGCAGTTCGAAGAAAGCTCTTGAACCATTGCCACTCTCTCCCAGGGCAGAAATTCATCCTGGATGACTGTCTCTCCATCCTGTGACCTTTGGAGTCCTATCAGATAACAGTTTCTCCTAAACCTCCCAGAAAGGACCAGGCTGAGTAATCTAACAGCTTTTCCACCCCTCCCAAGGTAGTGGACTGAGATGAGGAATCTGGTTCTTATCAAAAGTCGTCAGCCAATTAATTGGCTGGCCCCTACTCCAAACTGCAGTCCTTCAAAGTCCCCAAACTCCCAAATCACTGTATGGCTGTGCCTTACACAATCATTTTCAAATCTCCTCAAGTAGAATTTGTGTTGCCACTCTTTTTGAAGCCCAACATTCATATTATCTCCTGCTGTAACTGGAGTCCTATCTGATTTCTTCCTGCCAATTTCCTCTGTGTCAATGCTCCTTTTTTCTCTTGCTCTCCAGCATTATACACCCAGCAAGGCTACTGGGGTCCAGGCACCCACCACTGTGGGTCACATATGACACAGTATGGCCCCCATGCATTCTTCCTTGGAGTAACTGGCATGTACAGTACAAGAAATATCAACATTTTAAAAATAATCACTCATTTCTGCAGTAGACTCGATTTTTAGGATCTATACGAGGAGAAAACAAAATTATTACAGATCCCATTTCCATAAAGTGCCAAACAGAAGACTGAAGTTTTTGTTTTGGTAAAAGGCCTGGCAGATGTCACTGACAAATCCTGCAGTTTAAAGCAAGTTCAGTTTTCTTCCAGTGTTTCAGTGACAACAGAAGAGCAAAAGCAAACCTGAGTCCCTTTTTCTCACCCCAGCAGGACAACCGCTCCTCGGGGAAAGAATTATCATCATGAATAACTGAAAAACACACAACCATTTTAATGGATCGGAATAAGCAGTGTTCATACTGAATGAGAGGTCACGCTGGACACTTGAAATGGAAGAATATAAATGAGGAGGAAGCTAAGTCAGATCCCTGTAAGCATTTTAAAAAATTCATGGGGAAGAATGGATAAATAGAATTCCCTGAGGTCAATGTTTGAGATTCTTTGCAAATCTAAGTGGCCGTCATTTTAGATCTAAATGGAAAACAACATATTGAAGAAACAAATGAGTCAATTATAATGCCTAAAGATAAAAGCAATCCACTTGGATTTGTGAGCTACAACATTTGGTTAGAAACACTTCAAAAGTTTCTTTACACTTAAAAAAAATTATGATAATTGCTTACTTTATAATAATAAAAATTTATCCAGTTCAAAGCTCATGTTCACCTAAACTAAGGCAATAGAAAGACAGAAAACTTTAGTTTATTTTATATATAGCACTAAAGTAATAGAGGGCTCCAACTCCATGAAGTAATGGATTCTAAGTTACCATAGCTGTATACACATTGCAGATTTTGAATATCACTTTCCATTTGCTTGTTTATCATTTTTTAAAACTCTTTCTTTAATAAATCATGAACCCATAAAATTTTTCATCTTGAATGGACCTTAAAAATCATATCACAGTCCTGGCCGGTGTGGTTCAGTTGGTTGAGTGTCATCCCATGCACCAAAAAGGCTGCGGGTTCTATTCTGGGTCAGGGCACATACCTAGGTTGCGGGTTCCATCATCCCTGGTCGGGGTACATATGGGAGGCAACCCATCAATGTTTGTCTCTCTCTCCCTTCCTCTCTAAAATCAAAGAAACATGAAAGAAATCACATCACAGCTATTTCATTCATTTTAGAAATGAAGAAATTCAAATATAGAGAGACTAAGTGGGCTTGCAATAAAATGCACCATCAAACACCTAATTTACAGTCTGAAGACAATACCACAGCATGTGTAGGGAGCCTGAGGCCCCTTCTGGACTTGCTCCAGAATTCACGCTGTGTACTTATCGACTAAAGTTAAGACAGGAAAAAGGATAACCATGGTGTTCAAATGCTGAAATATCAAAGCCTATAACCCATGCAGTGTCGACTAGCTCTATCACAGAGTTTGAGGTTAAGCAAATTAACTGCCACTTTAAAGATATTTAAAAATAAAAATGAATGTACTTTTCAGAAATGCTTATAGGCCCCTCGCATTATCTAGGAAAATGACCATCTACAGTTCCACCCAATGCAATCAATTCTACACATAAGCATGAGAAACAGCAAAACTCCTTTAAGCTCAATTGTTGAGAACAGTGAATGTACCTCCCAGCCTTCAATGTGAGACTGCCATTCCTCCAGCACTTCTAACTTCTCCATCTGTCTCTTGGCCTCGTTGATGTTGGAACAGACGGCTTTCATGGCTTGGAGGGCTTCCATCACTGCTGCGTAGTCACTGTGTTTCCTTGGAGTCCGCTTCAGCAACTCCTGTTTATACACAAAAAACAAATTGCCCTTTGATCTGCAGCTTTCTGGTACAGCAGGTTCAGGCTGACCAGGAAATGAAAACTATAAAGATCATGAGAGCTACTTTCAGAACTGACATTACAAACTCCACTAAGATTAAGATCAAAAACAAAAGGTGTTACCCTGATAACACATTTTGCAGTCACTTTAATTTTTCCCTGAATATTATTTCATTTTAAAAAACAAAATTAGATTTCTCTTTTCAAATTGTCAAATATCTCACCTGCAGAATGTAATTTTTTTAAGTTTGACTTTTTTTCCAACAGAAGTACATCTTCATATGCTAACTTCATTTTCCTAGAGTCCTTAACAGAATAGTAAATCTTCAAATGACTATGTCCCATAATTTCAAAAATAATTTAAGTGCCCTATTTTCTAATAATTTTTGAAGATACTATAAAAGCATGTTCTAAATAAAGTAAAACTTTTAAATAATGTCTTATACTCTAGCAAAATAATTTATAAATTTTATAATACTCCATCATTAAAGGAACAATTTATGCTTTTTTCATCAATAAATCAGGCTCATTCTCTGCTATGAATTCTCTGCTACTGCCAAATGCTCAATAGCTTTATTTTTATTTTTGTTTTTGAGAGGGTTTTTTAGCTTTTTATTCATGTGTGTTTTTCCCCACTCAGGATATCAGAACTAGAGTGATCTTTAATCTTTTAAATATATTAAAAGGTCTTGTTAGTTGTTTAGAAGCACAAAATTAAACATTTTCACCCACTGTCTAGACAGTTGTGACCACATTGCTTTTTAATTAGTCATTTGTTTCCTTACTACAGTTGCCATCATCATGTAACTAACACAATTACAGAAATCCTAAGGCAAGTCTTTGAAAGGATTTTCTTAATTCTTAACATACAGTGGGAAAATACGCAGTTACTATATTCTCTTGAGGTCTGTTATTTTTTAACAATCTGCCATAACCTTCGACCTTGCATTCGATGTGTTCACACTCAGTTATGCAGAGCAAGCACCAAAGAAACACACGTTACATTATTCCCAAGACAAGGTTTAAAATGTTATGCTGAGTTGCAAATACATAAAAGAGATATGCAACCTTCTCCAGAAATTCTGAAGGGTAAAAATAATTGTAAATTATGTGACGGGGTGGAGTCAGTCTGAAGGACATGAGATTTGGGGCCCAATGGAATTGTGCCCAATGGGTATCTAGGAGTCAAGACTTGAATTCAGATCATGTGAAATAGTGAGAGAAGCAACTAGTAACAGTCTTCTCTCAGTTACCTGCTATGAACCTTGTGCCAATTGGCCAACCCAATAATTTCAAGTTCCACAAATAAGACCAATGCATCTTTTCTTTAACATCCAGTCTAATCCCCTAATGTTTTTCTCTGAGTTAATAAAGCCATCCAGAATCGAGAACATCAGCACAATTTTTCAGCTGAAAGGACCAAAAAGAAAAATATCTACTAAGTAAACATTTTTTTGTGTTTGTGAAGGTAATCTTCCAAACACGGGAAAAGGTGTCATCTCTCCACTGCTTGAAGGTGCTTTGAAATAACCCATTTTTTCCTATCTTTCGAAAGGCCAGTTCAAGTACCCGAAGTCACCCTTATTCAGAAATGAGTGATTTAGGACAACCACTTGGCATGAAGAACTTTTCTTAATATCACTATGCCTCCTGACTCTCAAAACAAACAAATCCCTGGGACACCAAAACCGGGGCCAGGAATAGCTGCAGTGATGAGTAGACATGTAAATCTGAGTCACCAACTTGGAAGTCTGAAGGGACTCTCCCAAAGACAGCAGTCACATCTGCACCAATCTTGACTGTGCCAAAGCTCTGAAGAACTGGGGATCCCAGTGTTAGCGCCTCTCCATGGCTTACCCAAGCACCTTTACTTGTTTTTTTAGTAAGGAGAGATCCTTTCTGAAGAAATTTTACACAGAAGCCAAATTTATACAGCTGCCAAAAGTCATAGTAAAAATGTATTTTTAGTTCAAATTTATAGCATTTATTCTCAAAAAGTAAATCAATAAGAATACCAGTTAATATGTCCATAGCATTTCTGAGTATTTTTAAATTTAGATACCAAGTAATAATTAACATATTAAATAAATCAGAATCAAATATATATGAATAATAATGGCTAACTTTTGTGGTATATATATACTATGCTAAATGGTTTATTTAAAATAGCCCAATTAATTATTAGGTAATAATTTATATATGAACATATATGTAAATATACACAGATATACATATGCATACATGTATACATTCTTGTAGGTATATGCTATGATTTCATTATTAACCTTTCTGACTCACAAGTGAAAACCCAAGGCTTTAAGAGATTAGATTATGTGCTCAGTCATACAGCTGTAAGCAGAACACTTTGATCTTGAACTCAGAACTCATGTGCTCAACCACCACCACCAACTGCCTATTCTGAATTAATAGTTCCCAAAAAACACCCTTTCCAGAATTGCTATTCTAATCTGTTCACTGGCCCTCACAGTACAAGCAGTAATTCATACTTTACAACACGTGTTTCATAATAGAAATGTTGGTCATTATAATGAGTCAATGTCCCTATGACCATTACTGAGGCATTTCTTATCTTCCAGAGGCAGTGTTTTCTCGACATTGTCATTCTATGCTCATCACTTACTGTCCCACGTGGCCCATTCCATTCCCTGTAATAATGATTTAAAACCAGGCTCTGAAATTATGTAACTTTCACCTTCCTTTCATTAGCACCAATGTTAGAGTAAATCAAAAAATGCACCAACAGGGAATATAAACTGGTCATAATGTACTTAAATGGGATCTATCTTGAAACTAATGCATTTACTCTAAATGAAATTCAAACAAGTATGTTTTCTACAAAGAGCATTTTTTGTGTCTTTTCTTAAAATACTTGTTTCCTACTCCATTTATAAATTAGTGACAAAATAGCATTTCCCCCCAAAGACTACAATATGCCCTTTCTTTAGAATGTCAGACTATTTAAAAGAAAATTTTGAAAAGATCACAAGCAAAATATGCAGGTACAAGAAAAAGCTACAATAAAATAAACACATAACATACCTTCAAGATGAGAGGGTATTTGCATATTCTTTGTATCGGTGTTACTAAATACCCTTCCAGGGGCACATCTGTGTTCTTGCGTCCTGAAAGGAGCATGCAGTTCTGGGGAGGAAACAGAGACATAACTAATTATATTTTCAAAACCTGTGACTATAAAACTTTCTTCTATCATAAAATTTTCTGCTGGAAAGTTGTAAAAGCATGTCTCTTTATAGCTTCTTTCCCTAAGATCACATTCAGTCACAAATAACATTTATGGGAGAGAAGGAGAAATACTTTTGCCTTTCCTATTCACTAAAGAAGCCAAAATGTGTTTTGGATCTATTTCTTGAAAATTAATTCACATATCTTCTCCTGAGTATGAAGTCTGAGGAAAAAGATAGAAACAGAAATAGAGATGGAAGGATGGATAAGTGGATGGATGGATGGATGGATGGATGGATGGATGGATGGATGGATGGATGGATGAACAGATGCAATAAATGGAAGAAATGGTTGGAATGGTTGGGTAGGTGGGTGGGTGGATGGATGAATGGATCGATGGATGGGTAAATAATAGACAGATGCATAGATGCATCCTGTTTATAAAGGGAGGAAGTGTTGTTTTGAAGAAAAACAGGTCTAAAGACAACTGGGTTCCATGTATGCTCTGCCATTGACTAATAACGCAACTGGGTTGGGATATAGGAAAGTTTTTCTTTTTCCCTCACAGCAATAGCAATAGCCAGAGTATCCTTATTTGGGGGCCAGTTTCCCAACCCCCAATTCCCACATTACAACACAAAGAGGGCCAGGTGGCACGTGCTCACGTACAACAGGAAAGGAGACCTGAGTTTAGGAAACATGAATCTTTTATAAAGGCAGCATGCACGTCTAACCACTGCAGAGGAGGGGGACAATATACCTCTCAGGCTGTTTGTGACACAAGCATTATTTAAAAGGTAGGCAGCACAAAGGCGGTCAGTTCCCCTAATCAGAAAATGTGCAGGGAGCCCTGGCCGGGTGGCTTGGTTGGCGGGAGCGTCATCCTGTACACCAAAAGGTTGCAGGTTCGATCCTCTGTTGGGGTGTGTACAGGAGGACTGACAGAGCTCGGGGTGGGGGGGGG